CCTGATTTCTGTGCTGAGTGAGGTGCGATCGCATCAAACACGATGGAATACGCAAGAGCAAAGAAGGTATGAGGAAACGTATTTACTACAAGTATGTTAAAATGGATCAGCTGCAAGCGGACGATATTTACATCTGCTGCTATTTGATTGTCTGGCTGCCCGAATTGAGTTGGCCAACCTCTCACTATTCATTTAATGACATTTGGGAGTTAGGGGAGTGCAAATGCTGTTGAGAGGCACTTAGTTGTGCATTGGAACTTGAGCGAAATTGTAGCAAACTTGTGATACTTTTGCCCAGATGGGAAGGTGGTTATACGCATTTCCCATCAAACTGCCTAAGTGGTGAATGCGGGTCCAAAATATGTCTACATTCGCCTAAGTCCTTTTGCACCACAAGTCGATGTTTCATTATGTGACTTTTGAATGGGGCTGCTCCCGGCATCCCGTAATCACAGCAACACACTCCTCTTCGATTCTCCAGAAGTTCCAATTGATAGCTAATTTCCAAACCATGTGGAATGCCGTTTTTTTACTCAGTACCTCCTGACTAGACTGGCTCATATCGACGAGGGATGTGTGCTCTTTGCTACTGTTTTTCTGTCATAAACTTATTTGGCTACTGAAGTCAATCGCTAGTATGCAGCTCATCGTTTAATGGTGGCTGCAAGTTTTCATGGTGACTCGGGATAAGTTCAGAAACACGTTACATCTTGAGCCAAAGGATTATTAACTCCTTTACTAGGGAGGAGGGAAGAAAGATGTAACTTTATTCTCCCATGCCCTATTCCCCTTATGATGATGCTTTAAGCCATACGTGATGCCTACCACCTTCACTTGACAGTAGACATCCGCATGATGACAGACCAAATGTTTGAGTAAAGGTTCCGCTTATTGCTTTGGATTCTTTAAAGTACACTTAAAGTGTCGCCTGCATAATAAATTATAATTCTTCACTTTTACAGAGTATATAATGGCATTATACAAGAGTGTATCATAAGGTAGTCTTCGCAACCGATTTCAATGTTTTGATCACTACGGAGTCAGTGGAACGGAGCAAGATCAGGCCTCATCCAGGTTCGGATATCCACCTCAAAAATAATCCAACCTACTGCTTAAGTCGCACGTTGTGTGAAACATCATCATGTCCTATCCACCACTTTTCTGTCAAATAGCTTAATTTAAAGGAATTTTCTTGTCAGAGAGGTTGCCAAAAACCTCCATAAAGCTCAATTGGACGATGGCTACTTCGACCGATACAATGGAGATGAATGCGTTCAAGGCAAGTGACAAACGAATCGACAACTTCATTCATTTTTAAAGCGGTAGATGATACAACATCTGTCTGCTGCTGAAAATGTGGATTATTAATAGATATGTTTACAAAGAATGAACACTCAGAGTAAGGGAAAAATGGTAATTTTATTTGATTTGCTGTGTACATTTGGATGTGCTAATAGATTTGATTCCATATCAGGATAGTCTAGACCTCTGTGTGCCTGTGGATGCGATAGGCATTTGTCCAAATATCTGCCAGACAGACGGTGGAGTGGAAACGAAAAAAGATGATAAGAGGTAGTGAGAGATGTGTTATTATCTTCCACGCAAGGTCTGTATAATATAACTGGAAGATTTCGTGATTCTCTGCGTACTTCAATCCAAAAGTGTTGATAATCCACATAGCAAGGTTCAGTACCAGCAGGAGCGTGATGATTGTTCGGCCTGGTTTGGAAATTGTATGTCCCATCTCGCCCGCCTCACGACGTGATGCCTCCAGAATGAGGAAAACCTATTGTAGCAAAATAATTCTTAAGATCAGCTCCAGAGGCTATTAAGGTTTAACGTTTACTGTTTTGACTAGCAAGTCCAATTTCAGAACCTCTGTTGAAGTTGTTCAGCAGGGTCCTACCAGAGAAAAACACTCTCTACTCCTTTTTAAATAGGCTAAATACTGTACAATTTTCGATATTTAGACTGGCTAAGTTTCAACCTTGATTATAAAATGTATAATGCCGTTTGGTCCATTCGCTTCTAGTGCCTCAGAAGATAAAACGACTACCAGAGCCTTTTTCTCTCCTAAACAGTCCTATTCTTAGTTAAATCTGCTTATCGATAAATACAGTCAACAAAATACTGTACAGGAGTGATCTTACAACTTGTTAAGCTGTAAAGTAGTGTCTCTTTCTTCGGCAAAAAATTGCTTTGCTTTCGTTTGTGCTTCACTACCAAATCTACTTGACAGTTGATTTCACCAAAATCACATACGTAGACGACTGACTGGAATAAACTGTAATGGCAAAGTTTCCTCAGTTTTGTGATCCATTTGGGTTTGTCACTTCTTATTCAAAAAACACTCATATTTATTGCTTTTAAACCGGCAGTTCAACTAACACTCAAGGATTTCCAGTTTGGTTGACGTAGGCGCATAATATATTGAGAAGTTTGTATTTATTCTGTTATGCCTAGTTCGGTTGTTTCGGTGCGGTCAGATTTCATGATTGAGTTGACTGCTGATAAAACATCCACATGAAGCTCTCACTTGTATAAATTACTAAACAGTGATTTAAAACATTCTTCATATCTACACAAGATTTGAGTTCTATAGCGCAATAAACTAAGATGGGCACTACTCTTGTGTTCGAAGCTCCAACACGAAGCGTGGCTTAAAGAATTCCATTGGATCGCCTGGGAGTAATGAATGGATTATTTTGAGAGTGGTGAATAAATGGATCGTAACGTAGGTAGACGAATGAAGGATTGAATGAATGGATAGATAATGGATGGGTGGGTAAGCAACTCAATAAATGCATTGATAGACAAACGATTATAATGCTTAGAAGTTGACCAGATGAGTGGGTGAGAGAATGCGTAGAAGCTTTGGTGGACAAATTTGTGAATGAATAATACAGAGTATGCAGTTATTGTAGCTTGCATCAATCCTGAATATCCTGATCTTCGAGCATCGGAACAGATTTCTGACAATCGGATTCAATTTCATCAAAATATGCACAATCAGTTGACAAAAACTGATAGTACAAAAAGCTTCCTACCTGTAATAATGCTTGAACCATCTCTAGGATTGCCTTTCCAACAAACATTGCTCCTGCCTTTTTGTGCTCTTCCTTGGCATCCACTGCAGGTAGCAGAAGGAATAAATCGTAGAACAGAACGGCCACCAATCCCAGTAACAAGAGGTTGTCATCAAAGGCATCCTCTTCAGAGAGCTCTCGAAAACCCAGCACCTTGATTTGATACAGAGCAATGCTTACAGCTATGATGCCAATGGCAAAAAGTACAATGTAGTTGATTTGGTATAGCATTAATGCGCTTTTGTAACTGTGTCGACGTTGAAGGATATAGAAGAGAGCCAGGGCAACTAGCGTGGCCAGAAACAGGAGGAGGCCTACAAAAAGGCCTTTGTGTGCTCGGTGACACTCAGTCGGGTCGTCCGGACTAAAAAAAGTAAAAATCACAAAAATATTTATACTTGGAAGGTGAAGAGAATAATGGAATTTGTAATGGATATACACACTGCAAGTAGAACCAATCATTTATCATTCCTGCATGCTTTATTTACATATGTCTTATGCCTATCAGTCCAGCCTCAGAAGGGACTCTGCCACTGCGCTGTTAGCAGCAGCTAGTGATGTACTTGAAAAGGACTAAGCCATGGGATGTGACTGATTAGGGCCATGGAGATATAACAGAAGAGCTATCGAAACCACGTTGATTTCAGACAGTCAACAGTCCCGTGTTCTAGTGCATGACTTGTGGTGACTGGAGTGGTTTCAGGTTGGAATAATCAGTTTGTATACCCAAGGGAGCTGCTTAAAATAGCTACCTGAATGCAGCTACATCCAAATGAAATCTACCTTTACAAGAGTCTATAAAATATAAACATTAATAAAAATGGGGATGAAGGTGGTTCCTTCACAAGGCTACTAAACGATGGAGTTTAAAAAGCGGACGCAAGGGCAGGAACATCAAGACCATTACAAGGACCAACCTCCTCGTCCTGTTGCAAAACTAATAATTAGCCTTTTTCTACCTTACTGACAGTTCTACAACACTTAGCCATCCTGTTACGACTAAAGCAGGACAGTGGTCATGAGAAACGCCAAGGACACGTCCAAGGGAAGAAAAGCTGTGTAACACAATAAGATCCATTTCTGTTTTATGCTGACCCACAAGGGTTCACTTATGATATGGCTAAATCTAGACGCTTGAATACCATTACGCCCTTGAAAGGCCTCAGATACCACAAAGTACTGCAGTCACTTTATTCATTTGCAACTTGAATAGTCACGATTGCCTGCCGCCTGTTTTCTGTCATTCTTAACAAAAGAATTTCCTGGTGTTTTAAGGTAAAGTTACGCATCCTGGAATGTTCTGTGGATATAGTTCAGAACATGTGGCTTGGAAGGAATGTACATTCTTCCCCTTGGTTAATCAGCTCTGGATGGCGTGCTGATGCACGGACGCTATTTTACAAGCTGTGTGGATTAACTCTCGCTACAGCCAAGAAGATTTGTGCATTTAAATAAGCTATTCTGTTACTTTTATGCTACGGTGACAGCAACTTTGTGCATAAGATTTGAAATCAACTAAATAAACTATTTTTCATCACCAACGAGATAGCTGCGTACCTCTTAGGTTTGCACAATTTTATTTGTTAAGCATTAATTCGGAAAGATGTTATGCAAAATGCAAATTCAGTTGAGTCTCTTGGAAACCTTTAGTTGAAAACAAAATAATTTTATAGTATGTGGAATGTAAAGCAGCTTCCTGGAACCCAAACGCAGCCTTAAATGTGCTTAAGTGTTCAGGTAAAACTATACTCGCTGATTTTACTTGAGAGGAGGAAGCCAACCCACCGAATGTGCGACAGTGGTAAAACGTGGGTCTCCGTATTGTCGGGTATTCGATTGCCTGCACCACCGGAATGAGGCACCCTGCGCTGCACGTGGCCGATGCGTTGAAACATCTTGTAGAAGATTGCGCCTGCAATCAGACTGTACTCAATTCCGCAGGGAATTAGGTAGTGCACAAAAGTTGCGGCTTGAGAATGACAATGGGCTGGAAATGTGAATGAAACCAAATTTTTGCTAAGGTAATTTCGGCAGAGAATTGTTGCTTTTAAAATTACAATACAACTATGAGCAATTCATGTGCGACGGGTTTTCCAGAACAACCTGGAGTTGGAGTGTTTAAAGGAGAAGTACCAAATTAGTGAGTCGGAGAATGGACCTATTCTTCAAAAGAGTCGCCTGTTTCATTTTTGAACTGATACCCCATTGTCTAGCAAATGCTGGGAAGGCTTTAAGTGTAGAGCAGCTTGTGAGTTTGTCTGAAATATTATATGATAGTCAGATTCAACAGCAGAAGGCCATCTTGATGTGCAGCGTAACTAACTTATCTAGCTTGTATACACATGTGAATGATTGTGCTCCTTTCTACCAAAGATTAGTTCATTGTGTGCAACCTCAAGGATAGTCGTTGATCGTCTAGCCAGGAGAGGTTGTTCCACACACCGTTTATATGAGCGAGTGTTGTACTGTAGACTGTCAATATCAGACCGTCTCCGAAAGTGCCACAGCATTCAAACGCCCTACTGCAACTGAGCTCCTTGCCACCGCGTCGTACTGTGCTTAAAGTACTCCGTAGACATCCGTCGGTATGAAGCATTTGCTTACAGCCAACTTTATTAACCGCCACCTACTAATTCATAAAAGCCCTACCATTGCCGCCTGTTCACGTTGTTAAGAATGGTGAGTGGGCTAGTGCTCGACATTTTACTGGCAGTTGGTACTTGCCAAGGGACCAAATTGCAAAACCACCAATCGGTCTGACTAATTGCGACCTGGCAGAGGACTGGATGGGCTATATTTATTTCACGGCCTTTATACCTGTAAGATGAATGTGCGCCCATTTGGGTTAACAGAAGTGGGATGCGTTTCAGCTAATGTCACCCATTTCTCAGGCCCAAAACTTTGGTTTATGCACAAAATGTTTGTAATCAATTGTATTTTCGGCATTAAGCGATTTGCTTTATATTTTGGTCATGCAACTCCTTATATGTATCTCTCTGTCAGTGGATGTATTCCACGTTAATATACGGAAATCATTCACTCAGTTTGCCTTATTTGATGAAATTTACAATTTACCAGCCTTTTTATATGCATCCAAAGATTTCCTTTTTTAGTGAATCAGATAACTGAGTGTACCTGTTTGGGAAATAACTTTGTGAACAGTCAACTATCCTGTGATCGTGAGGGAGCGGATACTGGTTTAGGATGGAAGGCTGTGCACTCGTCTGACCCTTCATTTTGACATCGCATGCTATTTCTACCCACGTTTGCTTCAAACAGAGTGCGGATGGCACCCATTTTCCAGACACTTTAGGGCAGATATAAGCAAACTAGGTCTGTGGAAATGTGAGTTTATACCACCTGCTAGTATTTTTACTTAAATAATGCAGAAATTCCAAATCCATGTCAGACAGGCAGTAATGCCTCTTAAGGCAGCAGGGCTTTTGTTGGCATTAGTAATTTAAAATTACGGAAGGTGCATCATTCAGTTTTTATTTTTTTTTCATTTTTGGTAGAACTGATGAGACCCATTTTCAATTGCTACAAATTTTAAACAGACGAAATAGAGATTTTTGAAATAAAAATAAGCCTGCAGGATAAGCAAACGTTCTTAAGAAAAGCATTTTAAGTAGCTTTTAGGTCTGCTTATTGCCCTCTTCCACCTTGAATGGTGGAAGTTATGGCCAAGGGAGATCTTGCAAAATAAATAGTCTTTCTACAAACAGATACATCCTTGGCAGCAAAATCGCTTTTATGTGCCAAAATTTTGTAACTGCTTGTTCCCATTTTTCCCAAATTTAATAGACATTACCAGATTCTTAGCAGAAAAACAATTTATCATCCTCACAGGGCAACAGAGTGTTTGGCTGTTATCATGCCTTATCACATTTATGGTTAAAGTCTCAGACAAAACTTGGCTAC